GCCGTTTCGGAGATTACCCGGAACAAACGCGGCTTGCAGACAGACAGACAAAAATGTTGAAATGCGAATTTCGTTATCAGTAACACAGATACATCTTCCCGATATCTTGAATTTTTCTTTTCATATTACAAACAGACACTTCAATCTATCTAAACTATCATAATAAAGCGTAAACACACACTTCTTTGTTGCCTAAGATGTTAGCAATTACAGCATATTTTTAAAAAAATATTTTTTTAATAAAAACCCTACATTTACTTCACGTTTTAGGCTATATATTTTCATGCTATTAAACTTAGTTGGCAAATAAATTGGATAACCACCCTAATGTGGGAAAGAGACTATAAGTTGCCAACATCAAGGAAGCAAGATTGCCAAGGTTTGACATGTCATGTCATTTTGACATTTGCAATTGATAAATTGACAAATGTAAACGATAAAATGAAGTTTTTATAAATACCTGCGGATGAAGCCGCATGGGAACAGCTAGTTTTATTATATGTATCGATAAAAAATATAGATAAACGTAACATTTTTAAATTTACAAGATAACGAAAGAATTTACTTTGAAAACGAATGAAAACAATTGATTAGGTTTTTTTTCAATTGAATACTGTTACGTATTTTATGTTGCTTTTAAAAATAAACTTACTATGTTTAGAGAACGTTAGTGTTTTAAATTAAATTAAAAGTGCGCACAGAAATAAGCCAGCATTCTGTAATTATCCAGCTGCGGGCTTCAACGAAATACAATCAACTCACCGGCCGTTGTTTAAGGATTAACGATTCTTTCGAGACTCGATTAAACGTAAAACTCCACAAATATCTGTAAATGTTCAAAAAAAACTGAGTAAAAGGTTCTTCCGAAATTCTGTTTCGGAATTTCTTCCGAAATTCTAGCAATCTTAGTGTTAACGCACTATATCACCACTGAAGGGGTACGCCGTAGTACTGGGGCACGACACAAAAATCGCTCATTGTCTTCTAAAAATATTTTTAAAAATATGTTTTCGTATAGGTGTTGTTTCTTCAAATACACAGCTAACACAGTTTTAGGACGTCATATTATTCCTAACATCGAAACGCTTCTTTAGTAAACTCGTATAGTTCCCACATCGCCCCCAGCGCTACGAATGTTCATACAAAGTCCACTAAAGTGCCTCGAGCGTAGCAACTAAAAAGCTACGAGCTACGAAACACAATTCAAACAGTGTAGCATTAGAACAATAATTATAATTTCTAATTGTTTGCTTTCGTCTTGTATTTAAAGTTACTAATGTTTTTAATTTGAAATCTCAATTAATAGAGTACTATTTAAATAAAGAAACTTAGTACCTTAAAAATAGTTAAGTGTAAATTTGGTAAGTAGAAGAAATCCATATTAAAGGTTTCCTTAGTAACCAATTACCGACTGTAAGTGTAGCAGTAACAAACCGATTGACACTGAAAGCATAAGGATTGAAACCCAGGTCTGTTAATATGTATTTATTAATTTAACGTACATTGGCTTTAATAAACGGTCATTAGGCAAAACCGAGCCCCAGCTGTTGTATCGGGCTTAATTAAGAAGCCGTGAATTATTTATAAGCGACAGGTAGACGTTGAATTGATATATTTTGACGCAACGACGAACGTTGGCTTGCGTAAATTGTAATTAACAATTGGTAAGACTTTAATTTATTACGTAAATTCACAGCTGATAATCAGATTAGTAAAACGAATTTAAATAATAGATATTCAACAAACAATCTCACGCCACTAACATAGAGCGGTAATCAGAGACCCCCATATTCCATAATGCGCATACTCCTCTCGTCTCTTCCATTCTACTTTTTTATATTATGAAATACCAAACGAGCAAGCGGCCAACAGAATGCACTAAAAAGACGAAGCAACCGCTGCCCACAATCATCTGCATTTCAGGTACTTTGCCTACCCTTAATTGACGAAGAAAAGATACCCATAATGATGTTAGTTCTTCTTCCTATGCGTGTCCTCCGCCATCCAACATCCTTGTTATGTGTGTCAATGAGCAGCGGTCGTTTCGTCATTGTAACAAATTCAGTTGACCGTATACTTTTGTGATATAAAAATAACTGTTATTATGTTAGGCTACATCAAGGCTGCGGATTTAAAGCACCTTAATACACCTAGATTTGAAAAATAGAATGAGTTCACGTTGACTCTAGACTGTAATAAAATCGAGTAACAAATGTCGTTGGTGTAATAATAAAATTTATTCCCGCAGCTCTATTTTATTTTCAAGAATATTTTCCTTCGACACAGGCACTTAAGCCAGAAGTGGCAACTCTCAAAGGCTGAAACGTTTCCTCGACTAAATTAAACTTTAAATTGAACATGCAAAAATTCTAACGTTCCTTTGACTCGTTGGTATAAAATGAACGCTGTTTTATATAAAAAATATACCAACTTATTTTTAAAAAATAATATTTTTTTAAACATAAAGCTATGGTAACGACTATTGACTTATACAGTTAAAGCAAAAAACTTTAAGTACTTGTGTTAACATTTTTCCGCTCTAAAATGTTTCAAAATAAATTAAAACAACACTGTTAATATTATTGATATGAAGCAGTAACTAAAATTCAGACAATCTACGAGATTATATAAAAACATAAATCCCTTAATTTAAAACTAACTCAAAATAAAAATCAAAGATACATTACTCCACATAAATCCAAATCTCTCCTTAAAAATTATATCTTTCTACATTTTGTAACTTCATAAATAAACTATTTATTACAATAACAAATCAAACCTATCTAAAATAAATACATCAGACGTTTCTAAAAAAGAAAACGGCCCACTTTCAGCTGCAACCTTCAAAATCGAAAATAACCGATCGACGGAACAGTTGCAAAGATAAAAATTTATCTATCGTTACGAAATCGATTGCGTTCGGCTTTTATGAATGTCTGAGGAAATATCTCATCTTAGAAGAGATAATCATGTAGATAAAATATTCACTTGAGAAATTGGATATAAGGTAGTCACTCGTGTGTTTAACGGCGATGTTTCGTTTAATTGTGTTAAGTTTATTTTTACATTCTTTCGGCTCGTGCTATCCGAATCTATTTGAAACAAAGCACTTCAAAGTCGGAATTGAATATGATCGTAAGTAATCTTATTAATATTATAAATGCGAAAGTTTATATGGATGTTTGTTACTTTATAAAACTGCTGAATCTCTATGAAATTTGTCATAAATTTATAGTCTGGAAGAACACTAAGCTACTTATGTTTTTTCTTAATTCTGGGCGGATTTGCGGGTAAAAGCTAGTGCTTTCAATATTTTTAATACGTCCCTTTAAGGTGCGAAGTCTTTTATAAATATGTAAACTTATTGTCTAATCTATCTAATATTATAAATGCGAAAATTTAGATGGATGGATGTTAGAGTTTGTAGCCTAAACAGCTTAACGGATCTCAATGAAACTTGGTATAGACGTAGAGCATAGTCTGAAAGAACACATAGGCTACTCACTTTTTTTTATAATTCCACGTAGACGTAATCGCAGGCGAATGCTAGTATTAAATAATTGTTACTATTTATGTGTTTAATACGGAGAGCGGGAGCACAAAAAGAAACACATGATTACACTTTTCAGTACTATATTTGAACATTAACAAATCAATTTAGTGCCATTTCATAACACAATGCCACCGACATTTAAAACGCTAGTAACTCCATCTATCGAATTTATAGCTTAAACATTTAGTTTTATAGCAGTATAATTCGTTTAAGTGGTATTTTTTAATCAAATGCAACATACTTGCGTCCTAACGTATGATTGGTTGATCCAGCCTTTCAATAAATGAATTAAGACCGAAACGTTTATAACAGCGTCATAAATGATAAGGCCGCTTTTAAATTCCTTAAACATTTTCACGTCTATCAGATTGTAAACGCTTACAAAGCCAAGAATTCATTCGTTTCATTATTCTGCCGTTATGTTCTAGATTTTAATACAAACTTGACGATATAAAACAAAACTTGTTTTAGAAATCCAGTTGCGCATAATCTTTATAAAATTATGAGTCATTTTATCGCAAAAATTTATAAAAGTTGTTAATAAAACTAACCACAAATATTGTACGAAATTTTTCATTATCTTTTAAGTACAAAGTTTTCAAACTATTCCATAGACAGTAAATTGTCCGTTGAAATTATTATCTTCATACAAAAGTAATCCAATTTAACTTAACTTTGTTTTTTTGTTTACTTTATGTTAACAAGCCTCAAAGTAAATGAGCCCGCTTGATTAACTTTTTGGTTAAGTTTGTCTCTTCATTTCAAAGTGTTTGTAAAAGGTTTTTCTTTTTTTTTGTTTACCACATAATATGCATTTGTTAGTAGCCTAATGAATTGTTTAGTTTTCTAAGTTTGCTTGCAAAATGTTAGCTCAAACACACAACTGTTTTCAGGGTCTCTACCAATGAGCGGAGGTTCAGACCGATACAGGCATAGAAATAACTACGACCCTTTCTTCGTTACCGTCACAGCTTCTGCGAAGGTAAGATTAAATAACTATACTCGTAGCATGAGATTTTCACATGTATTTGTAACACATAGAAGAGGTTGTATTGGAGCCCACAGTAAACTAATTTAACAGTGGTAGAGTCCGAATCTATACTAATGGGCCGGCTCGCTTAGTGCTATACCATGACCGTAAAGAAGACGTGAATTGGAAGGTATTCCCTGATGTGTGTCGAAAGATCTAAGTTGGGTACTTCCCACCCTTTTCTTCTAAATGGGAGATGGCAATATGGTTTTGCAGATTAAGGGACATATAAGGGATTGGGAATACTTTCTACCTAAGTGTTCGCTCCTTCCATACAAAGTATTAAAGGAGATTTAAGATTTTAATGCAGTCCGCGTTGCACTCTTTGTATCCTTGCTTTCATAAGAAAGGCTATCTTGCTTATCAAATATGATTACAAATTCATTCACATTTTAAATCCTACAAAAACACGAAGTAATTTTTACCTAAAATATTCGTTGCGTGTTTTTCTGTTAAAAATTCACTTACCGTTAACTTCCGTTTATTATTCACAAAACGTAAGCCCGCGGCGTAAAATAAACTCAACTGTTTGAATACTTTTCGATAAATCAACAAAAAACGCAACATTTCGCTGAAATAAAGCCGCTTGCAAAATGTGGCCTTTATGGATTCACGACCCTCCGTTGTGGAATTGCGTTACTCATTAGCGAATACTTTTTAAGCTGTTGAACATATTAATAAGCGTAGCGATTAGCGGGTGGAAATAAAAATCTTTTAAAAAACCTGTTATAGCTATTGATGTTAGATATATTTATTTCGTTAACTACTAGCTAGCACAGCTAAATTTGTATATTCTCACATAATAAATCTGTTATTTGGAGTATTTAATGATGTTTTAAGTATTTATAATCAACTAGCTTTTGCCCGCAACTCCGTCCGCGTGGAATTAAAAAAAAAACAAAAGTAGCCTATGTCGTCTTCCATATTATCCTCTACATCTATACCAAATTTCATCGAAATCCCTTCAGCCGTTTAGGCTACAAGCTCTTACAAATATCTATCCATGCATTCTTCCATCTAAACTTTCACATTTATAACATTAGTAAATAAATAAATAATAAATAAATAGAATTTTTATTGCCACAAAAAATGTAATGTAGTATGAAGTATGATATGATTAATTTCGTCCAAGATATAAAGAAAATATGAGCAAAGTTCTAAAACATGTTAATAATTGTCTAAATAACACTATTTGGCTTCTATTGTATGATTTATTAAGTGGATGGAACTTTCACACACTTTTGAATTTATTTATGAATCAGTCATCCGCTCCGCTCATCACTGTACCCTGCTATAATTTATTTTGTCCGTCTTCCATTGTGCGTATCCTTTCGCATGATATTTCTCGTATAATTATACCAGAAAGGGTTTTCATTAAATAAATTTGGTGTGAATGTTATTGTAATTAGGATCATTTGAATCAGTCGTTTTATTTGTAAAGATTTATTTAAACAAAAGTTTCTAAAGTACGATAAATAATTCGATATGTATTCTTAGACTTTTTTATACAATAACTAGCTGTTCTTGTGCGACTTCATCCGCATGAAATTATGAAATTTTTATTTTATTGTTTACATCTGTCAAAATGGCAACCTTGCTTCCTTGATGTTGGCAGCAACTTATGGTCTCTGTCCCACATTAGGGTTTTTATCCAAAATATTTACCCCCTAAGTTTAATAGCATTAAAATATAATATAGCCTTAAGCGTGACGTAAGTGGAGGGCTTTTTATTAAAAAAAAATTATTTAAAAATATACTGTTATTCCTAACATCTTAGGCAACAAAGAAGTATAACTAGATTCATATTGTTAATTAAAAGTAGAACCATGTAGTCATAAAACTGTTTAGAAGATTAAGAGCGTGCGCACAACTGAAACTAAACTATCGCACAACAGTTGTGCGATAGTTTCTTAAAAGGTTTGCACCTGCTCTCAAGATGTTAAGAATTGCTGGTAACATTTACTGCTATAATCTTTTGAGTACCTCTTTAGACCACGTACTTAGATGTAGTCTTTAAAAGGCACTTAGACAGTCCTTTTACGGTCCTATGGGCGCTGATTGGATGGCTACAGCGGCCACTTATCCCTCTGAATATAAAATTGAACGATCTATAATTCCACTTTATGTCTGCCCGTCTGCATTTTAAATGCCTGTTACTGATAATTTGCTTAATAAGTTTTCACAAATTCTAAAGATTTAATCGGGCTTTTAAAGTTTATCTTTTGCGTCTTGAATTGCTTATTGATTTTTTATCGTAGTTAATACAATTTAGAGCGGACGCAAACCATTGACTAAACTGTCCCACAACTATGTGCGATTGTCAATTGTCGATTGTTGCGTTGCATTCAACTGCTTAGTTGCATAATTAAAAATCGATTAGTGCGCTTGATATAAGCTTATAGCAATGAAAACGATTTTAAAAAGTTCTGCGATAGTTTAGTCAAAGTATTTGTATTCATTGAACAGCTACTAGCTGTTCCCATGCGGCTTCATCCGCATGAAATTAAAATTTTATTTTATTGTTTACATTTGTCAAATTCTCAATTGCATATGACAAAATTACCTTTACCGTTACCTTAATGTTTTCAGCTTGTAGTTTATGGTCCCTTTCCCACATGAAGATTTTTTCCAATTTATTTACCCTCCTAATTTAATAGCGTGAAAATATATAGCCTAAAGCGTGACGGAAGTCTAGGGCTTTTTATTAATAAAATAATTATTCAAAAAAATGCTGTAATTGCTGAGATCTTACGTTACGAAGAAGTGTGTATTTACGCTTTATTATATTAATATAGATAATTAAATTTGTAAGTTAACTTTCTGACTCATTGCTTTAAAAGATTTTGTGGTAGACGGTACAGGTTCTTAAATGTTTTCTAATTTTATAGTACTATAGAAAATCCCTTCTTTTATATATCTCAATATGTGATCCAAAAGGGTCAGAAGCAGATTGGTACATTACTCTGATGACATCACTTTTTCACGTCAGAGGGACACCCTTTCCATCAGTTTCTGGACCTTTGCGGGAAATTGCGTTGACAGAGATACATATCAGAAGTTTCCAGAATATTACTTATAATATACTGAGAAAATAATGATATTTGACTTATAATTATGACCAATGAAACTGTAAATATTTCATTAATAAAACGAAAATTAAAATGTGAATAGTTTGTTAAATTAATTTAACGCAATTAGTATAAAAAATGACCCGAAATTTCGTCGCGCGATTTTGAGCTAAACTATTTAACTACGTCGTAGTCTTTGACTCCAAAAATCAAACAAAGAAATGGGACCCACCTGCAATCATTACCTTTCGGATAAAAAAAGAATTGTCAAAATCGGTCCACTAGCGGCGGAGTTATTCCGTAACACACATAAAAAAATAAAAAAAACATACAGATGAATTGAGTACCTCCTTCTTTTGGGAAGTCGGTCAAAAAATCATCATCATCAACATACCTTGTTCTTATAGAGGGAGGGTCGGCACAGTATGTACTTTTTCATACATCGCTTTCATATCTGAATTCCCTTCTTAAACATATCCTCTCTCACACAATCTACACAACTAACTATACTAATATTATAAAGAGGAAAATGTATGAATTGAATGAATTTGTATGAATGGAAGTAACTTAAAAACTACTGGGCCGATTTCAAAAATTCTTTCACCGTTAGAAAGCTACGTTATCGCTGAGTAGGTTACTTTTAATTTCACGCTGGTCACACCTAGTTCAAACAAAATATCACCATTTATCTATCGACATTCCTTAATGGTGAGCTCGTAAACTGACTGTCTGAAATTGAACTTTAATGACAAAGCTCGTATTTTCAGTGGTCTTCAAAGTAAAAGCCTACGCGAAAGTGAATCGCGTAAAACTTTTATTACGTTCGTGCTGAGAATGTACATCGCTAGGGAATAGACCATATTAGATTGAAAAAAATCATCCATACACTCATTAAATACTCAAAAAACAACGTTAAAAGATAAGATTTGTAATTATAGAGTCAGAGATAAAGAGGAAAGATTTGTATTTTTGTATGTATTGAAATAAGTCAAAAACTACTGGGCCGATTCCGAATATTACATTTTTAAAAAGCTTATCAGTAACATAGGCTACATTACATTTATTATTATTATTTAAATTCAAGCGAACTAAGTCACGAGAAACACCTAGTGTAATAACAAATCTATTATTACCGAAAGTAAAACGTTTATTATTAAAATGAAGGAAATTAAAATCAAAATGCTCAATCTCAAATTTAGTATATTTTTAGATGATATACGAGTATATTACAACCGATCAGTAAAATTTTAGATAAGTTACTTTTAAATCGACACTAATTTTATATGTACGGGTAAAAAGGTGCCCCGTGGTCCATTAATTTGGGCTCACCGCAAACCACAAGAGTTCCTCTTCGATATATTCCGAAGCGACACACTTTGTCTCTGACAGTTTAGTGGCGTTGGTCTGAGGTCACACTGGCGTCTGAGCTATATTAATATAACGTCCCGCTCGAAGGACCAACGTTTATTATATTTACAAAATTCGTATATCGGCGTAACATACATATTTTGAAAATCAAAATTTTTAATAAATTATAGTAAATTACTTGCTCCATAATTTTGTACATTTGCGTTCACATATCCATTATCTGCGCCTTTGATGCGTCACTAAGGAAGCCCTTAGTTGGGATCTAGTATTTGCTTTAGTAAACACTTCTTATTGTCCATAGAAAGGCTACGTGATGTCGTATTTAGAAGTGTCAGCGACAACAGATGCATTAGCGGAGGTGAACTTCGAGCTGATCCGAGGAAAAACCGGCGCTAGGAATATGGTCTTCCAGCTGGTCTCCAACCACAGCGACTTCCTGGCGTACTCCTATATGGCTTACGGCATCCGGGAGGAAGAGTACAAAAAGGTTACCTCAGTATCGTTGAGCAGTGGATAGGTAAAATCTGTAATGCGCAATAAGGTGGTGGCGTTGGAGACTCGTTTTGTCGTTCGTTAATGTTCATAAATATTGTAGTTTGCATCACGATATTTTACAACGCTTTCAAATTAAATGAGATTCACTTTTTTCGCAGTTCATTACCTGTACTTTCTATTTTTTTGTAAATAAAATAATATTTTTTTGATAAAATTGCACATTTCACGTGATTTTATAAAGCGCCATCTATTATGGATTTGTGAAATGTTTTCCATTTTGGTTTCGCGTAGTACTATTTTGTATAAGTACAAATTGGTAACACAAGATGGCGCTGAATTCATTTATGTTAAATCCATTTAAGATGTAGATTTAATTGTAAAGTAAGAAATATTGTTAAAGTAACGATTATTATATTGTTTTAATTTGAAATAATTTTATTAAAATGTCAATTTCATAACTTATAATATTTGTAGAAATTCATGTTTTGTAAATAATTCTTAGTGCCCTCAATTGATAAGAGATGTCGCTGCCCGTTTAAAACTTGATAAAATACAAATATTGGTTTTTGTTTTTTTTTTCGTTTTTGCTTCATATTTCTGATTATATTATTTCTTTCAGGTCACAAACATGGTATCCCTGCCGATACAGAACCACAGCTATGCAACAAGATTCAATTGTTATGTGCTTTTATTAAATTTTATGTTTTTTAAGTTAATTATGTAGTAAATGTTTAATAAAACAACGTTTGTTTCATTATTATTATTCCGAATGATAATTTTAATAATAACAAAAGAAAAATAGCCGTCTTCACAAAATATTACCTAAAAAGGTTAAGGCCGACTTAGACACAGTAGTTTTCACAGTTAAAATAATTACAATTCTTATAACTAAATAGAGATTTCTTATTAAACATATGAAAGATGAAGAATTTTATTAATTGCATTTAAATATTTAGACAAAGGTCCCGTATAAGTGCCGTTAGAAGGGCACTTTTCAACACTGACGCAGGTCTTGTCCGCGCTGCGTAGAAGTCCAGGGGAGCAGACGCACCCAGAGGAACAGACTTTCGTACAGACAGGGTCAGGGTCCTTGCAGGAGGGCTGGCAACCGGCATTGCACATGTCAAATACTTCGTTCTCTTTCGTACAAGGCTCTAAAACAAGCAATTTATGTAAATTCTTAAAGTTCTAGTAAAACTACCTCGGTCTAAACAAGAATCATTTTATTTGACACCAGAAAATCTCCTAGGCTAGGGGTGGCGAACATTTATGGTCTTAGTTTTAACTGACAGTAACTTAGCATTACCTAAAATCGGTTACTTACTGATGGAGCACTTATCCAATGTGACACATTTGTTTGTTGCATCATCTCTGTAGTACCCAGATTTGCAGAAACAGCCAATACTGCAGGCGAGAGAACATTCTAGAGGTTCCGGCTGACTGCAGGTGGCAGGGCATGCGCTCCCGCACGGCATGAACTCCTCGTTGTCACCACACATGGGAGCAGTACCAGCTAAGAAGTAATTAAAAACAAATATGCAATGAACAGCGAGAATATCAACAAGTATTGTAAATTTGTAAAGCAAGAATTGTAGGCTTCAGTATTAACTATTGTTAGTCCATAGAAAAGACAGAAGTGAACTTTTTATACTTGATACGTGGACAGCCAACATCCCTGAGATGTTGTTCACTTCCTCTTACTGTCTCCTTTGCCTATATCTTAACATTAATTTCTAAAAACCAATAGCGAAATATTCAATAAGAACACGAGCAAATCTTCGACTAAACTATCACACAACGGTTGTGCGATTGCCGATTGTTTCGCAGCAAATTCAACTGTTTAGTTGCACAATTAAAAATAGAGTAGTTCCATGCAAGCTCATAGGAATCAAGTTTACATGGGCGCACGCTCTAAAGATTGAACGTTGTTAATTGGTGAAATGGTGAATGATTTTCTTTATCAAAAAAGCTTGTAAATGTTAAGTAAGAAGTAAGTTCGTACCTTTAACACATTCTTCAGCCGGCACACAGGTTCCAGTCTCGTTCCTCAAGTAGCCGGCGACGCAGAAGCAACCCTCAATACACTCCTCAGCACAGACCACCTTCTCCGGCGGGTTGGTGCAGTTGTACGGACATGATGAACCACATAGCAGATACTCTTCATTCGTTGGACACTCCTCTGAAATAACATCAATTAAGAACTGATAAATATTGAAGTGTTTTAAATATGATTTTCAAATTTCATGTTTTGATTTCTTCGTGTAGAAGACTTTTGACAGATTTCAACAGTGGTAGTGCCAGCTTTAACATCTTAGTACTGCAGGGCCGGGCAGCAGCAGAAAACAGGCGTGAAATGGAACCAATGCCGTGTTTCGTCTGATGAGTGTGGTGTGGGAGGCCTAATTTAAGTCCCTTTCTCTTTACCACCCTTTTTTTAAGGAGAGGCTGGGAAGGGGAAGTGGATTTGACGATGGAGGAGATGCATAGGAAAAGGAAGTATCCTTTTTATGTGCGTCTCCTCCTCCGTCGGATAAGGGTAGGCAACGCATCTGCAATTGCAGATGTCTATGGGCAGCGATCGCTTGGCCATTTTGGCGGATTCAGGTGGCCGCTTGCTCGTTTGCCATCTTATGTTATAAAAAAAATAAGATTATTGCCGGATGCAGACAGAGCAAGCGCACACCTTTGACTAATTATGACACAACTGTTTTTCGATTGTTTAAAGCCAATTTAACTGTTTAGTTGCACAACTAAAAATCAAAGGGAAACTAAACAGTTGTCTTGCTGTTGTGTTGCTTTTAGCCGAATAGTGTTTATTTTCATTGTGATGGCATAATGCGATTTTGTTAATATCTACTGTCTTTTACGATTATATTGATGGCTGAGTATATTATACAGACTTTTTTTCTGTTTTGTTTCTCTTTCATTCTGCGTTAAAGTACTTAAGTTCGTATTATAGCGTGAAATCATTTAATTATTGGCAAGTAATTTCGTCACGCATGATGGATTGTTAATATTTCCTGTTGCCTTGAATTTGTCAACTTGTAAACATTATAGTTTCTTTCAATGAAATTTATATTAGTGTTCGGTTTTTTGTGTTTTTATATTAGGAAGTTGGATTGTAATATGCTTAGTAAGTGGTATTTTTTATTTATTTACTGCATTACAATGGATTTAATTTACTATCAGTAAGAATGTTTTGTATAACTAACTTCCTACCTATTTTGTTATGGTTACTTTGATTAAGAATTCCATTATAACTAACAAATTTTTTAATGAAATTTTACTATACATTTACGGTTTTACCGTAACGCCAAAACTTGATGTAACCAATAAGTATTTACTATATTTTTTGAGCGACTTCTCAAAAGAAGGAGGTACTCAATTCGCCTGTATGTTTTTATGTGTGTTACGGCATAACTCCGCCGCTAGTGGACCGATTTTGATAATCCTTCTTTTATCCGAAAGGTAGTGCTTGCTAGTGGTGGGTCACGATTTTTTTGTTTTTTTTTTTATTACTAGTTTACATTATACCAAAATTTATTTCCTATTTGTCTTGGTATTTCTTTAAATAGTGGTCAATCAAAAGCAACAAATTGGTCTAAAAAAAAATTTTTTTCTAATAGAAAATGAATGCCCCCATGACGAGATCTACAAGTCGTGTTCGTTCTACGAGGAGTACACTTGCTGGCAGACGGCGGAGCGCACCAGCAGGGTTAAGACTATACCCAAGCGGCTACCCCACTGCAGGGCTGGATGTTACTGCAAGTATGCTTGGTACTATGTTGCAGTTAATCTAGAGAACCGGTTTAAGCATATTTAGAATAGGCCGGCTCGACCCATGCAATACCACGATGAAGCAATTCCAATTTTAGTCTGACCAGTGTGCGAGCTGGAGGCCTAATTCTAGTCCCTTTCCCTTACTATTTTCTCATAAGGAAAGGATGAGAAGGGAATTTGAGTTTGATGGCGGAGGAGACCCATAGGAAGGATAAATATCCTCTTTATGTACGTTTCTTTCTGCAAATGCGGATGTGTATGGGCAGCGGTTGTTTCGCCTTTTTGGCGAGTTCCGGTGCCCGTTCGTTCGCTTGCCGACTTACAATATAAAAAGAGTTTAGTTCAATCATCGTCAAATAATGAAAACGTTATACTCAACAAGCTGGGATGAAAGTTTTAATAACAAACTATTTAAGTATATCTTACTAATATTATAAATGCGAATGTTTAGATGGACGGATGGATGGATGTTTGTTAGCGTTTGTAGCCTAAACGGCTGAACGGATTTCTATGAAATTTGGCACAGGTTTAGAGCATAGTCTGGAAGAACACATAGGCTACTTTTTATCCCGGGAATAGTTACGTTTCCCGTGGGATTCATTAATTTAGTTTTTTAAGTAGTCGTAAGTCATAAAGCAATGTTTAAATGATTTCTTTTGTTATTGTTTCAGAAAAGGTCTAGTTCGAGCGTATCCACAGAGCAGGTGCGTGCTGTCAGTAATGTGTCGACATCAAGGACTGCAAGATTTACTTGAAAAGTTAACCTCCTCCTTTAGGGCTTTTCAGTGATTTAAAATGATCTACCTCAAGTCCACCCCTGTAATCGATAGCATTTATAATTGTAAAACTACCCAAGAGAGAATACTTAGAGAGTCTAGATTATTAGTAGACGTAAAGCATATTAAATTCAGTAATTCTAAACTAAGTTGAAATTTTTATCGTTGTGAACACAACCGTTGGGATAGGAGATATTCAAAACATACATAAGTTATATTCTGCTAGCCACTACTTTGGGATAAAACGGACACATAATCTGTCTGCATAATTAACTCTTAAAGTTTCATTAACTAAATTATTAACAAAGGATTGTATAACAAATAGTAATCTATTAAATATGTTATCATTCCAGAACATTCTAGTTAATTATTTTAGTAATTACCGAAATTAATTAGGTTGATAATATTAATACAAGTACATATACGTCTTCACATAATTATACAACTTATTGTGTTAATTTAGCTGAGATTATTAAAATTACTAGTAATTACAAAATACTACAAGATGTAAAAAATATTATAACAACATAACTTATGACTCTACATAGAGAGCGCGCACACCTTTTACTAAACTATCGCACAACTTTTTAGTCTCGCTTTGATTCGTATGACTTTTAGTTGTGTTAACAATTGAATTGGCACAACACGTTGTGTGTTCGATCATTTGGTTAAAGGCCTGCTCTTAGTCCGAGACCACGGACCTTAAACGATCCTAACAACTCTGATCTTCTAAATACATATAACACGAACATGAATGTCTGTTTCGATTTCTCTAGATGTTCCTACTTAAATATCTGGACGGTATAGTCCGTTTAGGACGGCCCTAATCAACACTGTCTTACTTTCATACAATAATTTCTCTTGTTAATCAGCTTTCCTTCATCCTTTCAACATATCCAAACCATCTAACTAAGAATGCTTTTGTCAATTCTATTGAGAATTCGTTAAATCATATTCTAAGCATACAATATAATCTTATCACTAACCACCTTAGTCATACTTCTTAAAGCACACAAGAAGAAATCTAGAGTTTACCTAAAAATAAAAACCATGGCCTATGAATGTAACGACTTCTCTATTACAATTTCTAATGTAAAAAATGGATTAGTTCCACATTTTGCCACATAGTTTCTCTAATTAGTAAGGCTGTTATAGGCAAATTTTATATAAACACTCACCATTAGCGACGTAAAAACCTCTGGAAACAACTCCTAACACTAGCAAACCCACAATCCTTAACATTGTTTCAAAAGCACCTAATACTGACGAAGATTGCAAGAACTCTGATGAAATAGTTAACAAATCGATCAAGTACACTACTGGCCTTAGTTACAGTTGACTGCACATGATTAGGGCCAATAAAAATTGTGCCATCCTTGACTGCAATTAAGTGCACTGAAGCATTACGTAGAATAAATAAAAACAAAGTTCTGAATAACGACTTAACCACAGTAATCTACTAATTAAATTTTTGTGTAAAAAGTAAACGTGTTAGTGTAAATGTGTGTTATTGTGATTTTTTCTTAAGAATTATTGAAAATTAAAATTAAATTTGATTAGAATGTCACGATTTCTTTTATTAAAAAAACTTATCTTTTTCTTTAGTTGTTATTTTTTGTCGTTTTTTGCAACGGAAATAACATTGGAACTTCCGATCGTTACTTTTTCGCTTTCCGTTTTAAATTCTTAATATCACTGTTAAATGAACGTTTCATCATATTTTTTTATGAAACTTTATTCACTGACTAAACTATCGCACAACTGTTTTGTCTCCCTTTGATTCCTGTGAGCTTATATGGAGCGCACACTACTCGATTTTTAGTTGTGCAATTAAACAGTTGAATTGGCTGCGAAATAATCGACAATCGCAAAACAGTTGTGCGATAATTTAATCAAAGGTGTGCGCCCGCTCTAAGAATCCTAGACAAAGTAATACAGATTAAAGATAAGAATGTCTAATTGTATTATAAACTCTGTAATAAATTACCCTTCTTAGAATCCGTTGAAGTAATTCGAGAGTACATAATTGAAGGTCGGAGTTTTGGTTAAATAAAGTCCTAATTCGATCGGGCAGGAACAACAAAATATTAATTCGCCATTCTGTACACAGTTCAGACTACCGTGTACACACTACAGTATATGGTGTATTGTACACAGTCGAGTATGTTTGCGTCCAATGTGCGTCACAGAGGCCTCTGTCCACTCCGGCCGCATTACCTTGATTGGACGCCGGCGAACAAACAGACTGGCCTTCTTTACCGACGATATTATTACACGATTTATTATATTATTGAACTCCGTTCACGTCATAGTACGTCGATTATTTGCTTATTCTGCTTTCTCTCTTATTTTATTCCCTCTTATTTATTTAATGTATTCAAAGATATTAAATGTTTATACAATCAAGTAAAAGGCAAGCTGCTAACATAGCGTATGAGAGTAATTGTTACATTAATTTGTAAGGAAATATTACTTTATAATTTTAAAGAGGAAAGATTTTTTTTTGTATGTATTGTAATAACTCAAAAAAGTATGGAAAGGGAAAGGGACTAAAATTAAGCCTCCGGCACCACACTCAAAACGCGGAATTGCTCCCACTTCACGTCCATCTGCTGTGTGGTCGTGGTATTACATATCTACAGTGCAAAGATGTTAAAGCGGACTCTACCACTGTATTTTTTTTATATCAATTAATACAGAGACCTAATAGCCACACACTAACGCGTTTCAACATAGTTCCCTTTCCTCTGACAGCTCTTTGTTCCGATGAGAAATGATTATATCGTTTTAAAATCTTTTGTCCAATCTCACAAATAAAACGAAACCTTATTGTGATGGTGGTAAAATTGAAAACGTAATGCACGTTGACAGTATTTTGAATAGGACAGGAAAACTATAAGTCAAATCTGAAATTGATTTATAGCAGCGAAAATACTTGGAAAATAAAGCTGGTTTTGTTAAGCTGTAATTCTGTTATATTACTGAGATTTTAAAGCAATCAATAATTGAATAGCATATGAATCGCAAATATTTTGATTTTAGTATTAAAATATTTCTGTGCAAGACCATACACAACATATATCTCCTATCGTTTTAACTCCTAACTCTATAGAGATTTTAACAGTGGTAGAGCCCGCTTTAACATCTTTGCACGAATGGGCCGGCTCGCCCGGTGTAATACCACGAATACACAGAAAACAGGCGTGAAG